TGCCATGTCTCATTCTCCACCAGTGCTGTGGGTGCAAGGCTGCTTTAAAGACATAAAACACGCGCGAAGCCATCCACAAGGTAGAATCATTGAAAATGATCGAAGCCGCGTTGCTCCCAGCCTGGGTTGCCAAACCAGTGAGAAGCCAGAGGCAGCATGTCCTGCAGCAGAAATGTCCACGCCCGGCGACGCAACTCTCTGGACACATCGCACAGCACATGTGTGGCTCGGATGCGAGACATCCTTGCACACCATGCTTGCATTGCAAAACCTGCGTGTGAACTCTAGCCCTAAAATCTCTAGACAACATCGTTTCTGAGAATCAAAAGCCTCGGCACTTTTTTGGGGGGCAAGCAAAATGCCTTCTGATGGGCGCTGGGGACACAAGACAAGATGCTTAGGCCGGCCAGAGGGATTCAAGGTTAACCAATGACTTCTCTTTCTTGGACCATGTTATACAAACATAGCTGTTGGCTATCGGAGCTGTCCCCTGGCTTCCTAAGGACCTCTCAGAATGAACACAAAACGCTGAAGATTTGGACTCATGCCACAATCGCGGTTTTCCCTCACTTCAAAACCAACTTGGCCTTCTCAGCTGGTGCAATCACTTGCTTCGTAGTGTGCAAGGCAACGGCATAAGGTCCAAGTGTTTTGCTCTTTTCGTCGTACTTGAGGACCCGCAAAACTTTCACCTGCGTCTATTTCTGAAAACACTAGTGCGGAACTTGTTTTGAGTACACATGAGTATGGGGCTTTGGCTTCAACATGTTTTAACATCCTAGCCTGTGCCATGAGCTTCGTAGCCAACAGCATTGATTGCAGCTGCTGGTCGCTCACGGAGAAAAAAAGCGCTTTCTCGGGTGGAGACAAAGTGGTAGGCACTTTCTCTGACTTCCATCCACCATGGCTCTGAAGCTTTGCCGCGCCCAAATCCGAGATGGCATCGCTCAAAGTCTTGACTGGGCCGACAGTCTTGTTCTGGTACACACAGATCTGGTTCTTGTATGGCTCCGTCAACTTGTACTCGATCTGGCCAGATGCGCTCAACTTCCCGTCTCGGACACAGTACAAGAGAGTCCATGGAGGAATCTTCCGGCCGTTGTCACTTTGCTCAGTGCACATGATGTAAAATGATCCAGTGAAACCACACTCCACCTTTTTGTCGCACAAATTGCTCGACAGAATCAAAGGTTCTCCAGGCTCATGGGCCTTGATTTGTTGCTCCTCAACCTCAACGGCCGCAATCGTGGGCTTTTCGTTGGGAGGTGCCGAGGGCTTTGCAGCCTCCACAGGTGGCACTGTCTTCTCAGGCACTGTCTTCTCAGGCGTGTCCTTGGCCCCCTGATCGTCTGGTTTCACAACCACCTTGGGAGGTGTCTCGGTGGCGGTATCCTTCGACTCTTTGGATGGCGAAAAATTGAGAAGCAACTGTTTCTGCTTCTTCGCCTCAGGTTCATCCAACATAGAGTACTGTGCGCCATAGTTGATGAGGATCAAAGAGCCTTTTGCAATGCCTTGTTGGTTTGAACTTCGGGCAACCAACGACAGCATGCCATCTGCTGCTCCTGAGCCCGGGCTTGCCTGCAACACAGCATTAGGCGATCGCCTGATGTTCCCGTAGTGCTGCACATAGCCTGCTGCGCCACATAGGATCGCGAAGAGCGGCTTGGTCTCAGAGCCATCTTGGAGGCCGTCAATCTTGACCAGGCGGTCTGCGAATGATAGCGCACTGCATTCGTTCAGGAAATAGACCAGCGTGGACTGGGAAGTGAAAAACAACGCGGTGGCAAGGCAAATGCAATCTCCTTCCCTGGCCAGCCAGTTGAAGACCCGCAACGCGTCATATGAAAAATGCAAAAAGCCGACGTAACAGCGAAATGGTTTCACAGCTGGTCTTAAGTGATTGGCTCTATATGTTTCGAGATCTCCAATCAAAACTTTAAAGTGAACGCAAAGTGTCCCACGCCAGCCTGAAAGCTTTCTCGGCCCTCAATGCTTTGCCCTTGTCGGTGCCCACGAGGCTGAGTCCATACTGCTCCAACTCTGCACTCAAAAGAGCCGCGGCTTTCTCTGGGTAATTCTCGACCAAATGATCGACTCCCACCCGCCAGGCTGAGCCTCCTTCATCGTTTCCTTTCACATCTCTCCATTGGATGAGCTGCTCCTGCGGGGCCCGTACATATATGAACTGGAGGTCTTGCATCAAAGCTCTCTTCTTCACATGTTTCACCAAAGTCTCAGCCTCTGGATGCTTCAGTTTGATGAGCATCCTTTCCAGCAACTGCTGACCATGATTCCAATTGTGGATGCCGCACTCGACGTAAGCCACAACACGGAGCTGCACCTGACGACATGCAACTATCATGCCTGGATGGGCTGACCTCGTCAAGATGATGCACCTGGACGCCGTCTCTGCCGAACACAATTGCCTCAGGATTCGAACTCCCTGTTCTACAGGGCGGACGAAAGTCCACAGCTCCTTCACATACTTGCCAGGAGGAACAAGAGCCTCTGCATGCTCAGAGGCATGGCCAACCTCATCACCATCATCTTCGGAGACTTCGCAAAGATCATGAGCTCCTTCAGGGACATCTGCCTCGTTGTCCGTCTTGTCATGATCATCCTGTGACTCTCGAGGGCCTGGCTTTGGCCTGAGAGGGCATTGTGGATTCAGGCAGCGCTGACGGAGATTTTCCCAGCTCTTGCTCCGCACGGCATTCAAGGCAGCGTTGGCAGGAACTTTTTCTGAAAAGCAAGCTGGAGCCTGAGAGATGATCCGGAAAGTCGGCTGAGCCTTTGCCGATTGATGCTCAGAGGCCGTGCACTGTACCAAGTAGGTTTTGTTGTTCTTGAAAAGGCTGGTGACCTCAGAGTGGATGACCGACAGGATGTCAAAGCGCCGTGCAACACAGATGCAAAGCACCCAGCGCTGAGCCGTACCGGCTGGCAAAGTCTCCACTACAACTCCAACCTTCTTGATGAGGTCCTTGAGGACTGCCGTCTTCGATGTTGGTGCGTCTATGATGAAAATGATCTTCTCGCCAGAAGTCACCGTCTCCTGCACCTGAGAGAATCAATCCCAAAACAAAAGCTATCGCGGGATTACCAAGCAAACTAACACAAAAGCATGGGATTGGGTCTAAGCCCAAAAACTGCAACGTAACAAGGCTTATACAAAGAGTGGATAAGCTTGCTGCTAGGCACTGCTTTCTTCATCATGTCAAAATCTTGGTGGCAATCAATAGCAGCAAGGTCTGCGGTGGCAAGCTGAGATGCTTTCTCGGCAATAGGATCTTTCTCTTCCATTTCCGCTGTTGTCGTGTCGATCCTCGCTCACTTTTCACACTGGCTGAACCCGTCAGCTGTGAAAAGCAATAAGCCCAAAAAAGATCCCCAACAGCTACAACTGCAGAAACATTTAATAGGACGCCATCTCAATTTTCCCAGAGAAGTCAGACAGAGAAAGTCAGCAATTTTTTACCGTTGCACCATTAACGCACACTGACTCACACACAAGACGAGGCACGCCATGGGCTCATCATCCACTGCAACCTGAGTGCTTTCCGAGCCATCACCTGCCGCTTTGGCCTGCTGAGTCTGCGCGGCCGTGCCCATTTTTTTGTTTTTCCAACTCAGCAACTAGTTCACTGCAATCAGCAATTCCACAATCCCCCGCTCTGCCGTGCAACGGAGTCATCGATTTACAGCAGCCGAGTACTTTTTGCCTCTGGGTTTGGGAGCTGCAGAACATAACAAAGTTCAGAGGGCGCTACCAGGACTGTCCTAAATCTAACGTGATGAACAACTTAATTGGAACCTGAATGCGAAATGCAGGCCACATGGCCACATGGAAGCTAGGAAAGTGGAGGCATGGTTGAAACTTGGCATGGATTGGCCCTTGAAACCTATGCACATACTTAGCACTATATAACTAAGATATTTTCTTCCAAACCACTGGACTACTTTCTGGCGCCCCAGCCTGCCACCTTCTGAAGTCAACATCCGCATGACTCTTTGGAAGGCTGGAGCATTCCCGATGGCGGTCCCAAATCTCTGAAGCATCTGTTTCTTCCACGAATGGACCGTGGACATTGGTTGGCAAAAATCTTGGGCAAACGAAGACACGCTGATGGAGATGTCACTCTCGAGCTTCTGCTCCAAGAGCTGCAATGCATAAAGTGCATATTCCTCTGGGAGTCGCACCTTGGGGCTTTCGTCCACAAAGTACTTGTTTCCCATCACCTTGGCTTGGAATAGGTGGTGTGCCTGGACCAAACAAACCGCTGTTTGGTAATTTTTGCTGGTAGTGATCCCTGCCCTATAACAAATAAGGATATGGCAAACCCTTGGGGGAGGTGAGGATACTGGCGCAGCCATGCTAGTATAGAGGTGGACGTCGCCATGGGTGCTTTGGCCATAGCAATCCACCTTGTGACCGTGGATCTTTTCGAAGGCCCGTAGATCTTCACCAGCTCCTGGACCAAGTGAACCATATACGGCCCTCTTCTTGGCCTGATAGACTTTTCAAATCATCTCTACTTATGGTACCTTCTGACTTTCCGTGTCCATTCCGAACCCAAGCTAACTGAAGGCTATAGACATTTTTCGCAGCGTCCTTCTGGACCAGCGTCCAGTCTCCTCCAGCCACGCGGGCTTTCATGGACAAGACTATACCAATCTTGCATTCGATGCTGGTGGGGAGGTAGACATTGTTCTCAGTATCATGCCGCAACGCCTGCCATGCTATGCGGACATCCCTGTCTGAGTTGTCTTGGTAAGACACAACATCGAATCTGATACCTTCCACAAAAGCGTCCGCCAATCTCCCGGCAACCTGGGCTGAATGCAAACATCGCTGGGTAGCTGGGTCACGTCGCGCAAACACTCTTGATCCAGCCACACTCGTGAGTCACTCATACCAACATGCAACACAAAGTTAGAAATCTACGTAGTTTTGGACGTTATTGGCAAACCATGACAAGAAACCCAATCAGGGGTTGCGTCGCTCGACTGGAGTTCACCTTCAAGAATTTGCATCGCTTTGCAGAAGTGCTTGCCATTGTCGCAAATTTTCAACCCATCCACCGCGCTCATCTGCCCATCCACCAGCGAAGGAGCGCTCAAAGTGTTCACGCCGTAATTCCCGGCCTTCAGGTCTGCAATGATCTCTTGTACCCTGGCATCATTGATTTCACGCCAGCCGCTATCTTCAGCGCAACTGACAGCACTGGCCTTGACATAATCTGTGCGGATAATTTTGGGGGCCAGATTCACATCTGGCTTTGAAGCACTTTTTGGCGCCATGATGGCGTAACAAAACTATCTGCTCTTGGTTTTTTCCAAGGTCGGCAAACCCCCTGCTGAGCAAAGATAGAAGACAAACACCCGCGCACTTGTCAGCACATGTCTTGCAGCGCTACAAGTCATGACAACTGATGTCTCGAAAACGCAAGTGTCAACCCGTCTGTCACACGTCCTTGAAGTTGCGCGCTGCAGCTTTGCCGGCCTGCAACACAAGAGTGCCTAAACCCGCATGCACCAGCAAAGTTTGCCACGCCTGCTACACTAAAGTGATTGAAACTGTTTGCACCTTTAAAAGACGCTGCCAATAAATAACAGCACATTGCGCTAACTAGGCCATAAAGACTGCTTTGCCAACCCTGGCAATTGACGAGATCTTTGTTAATAACCCTTTCCATCCCTTTCCCCATTTGGGCTTGCGTGTGTGGTCCACATGTGCCTCTGAAGATGTGTGGGCTCACACACAAGGAAATGTTCAAAAGGACCATTGGTGATATGGCTCTATTCCTCTATTTTTTTCCACGCGTACTCAGAACGACGCGACTCTGGGAATCCACTCCTTCCAAGATGAATCTTTGTAACCTGGCAGTTCGTTTTAGTGCTAGTTTATGCTAACCAATGCGTACTCAGAACTCTGCTTACGCCCATTGTGGCCTCTACGACCTAGCAAAGCCATGCTCAGCCTCAAATGATACAAAAGTTATTTCTTTGATAATTGCGAAAGTATGAAGCAATCAGTTTAAGATTCGACCCCATAGCGTTGTCACATAGAAATCTCTTTGCGACAGGACTCTGAGAATCCACTTCTTGAAAAATGAAACTGTGTAACCTGGCAGTAAGCACGGTCTCGGATCGTTTTAGTGCTAGTTCATTTAAACCAATGCGCACTCAGAACTCTGTTGCCCATTGTGGTCTCTACGGGCTAACACAGCCACGCTCAGTCTCAAGTGATAGAAAAGTTGCTTCTGCGCAAAGTGCGAAGAGAATGAAGCAATCAATCTGAGACTCAGAAGCCGCATAAAAATATCTTGGCGACGCGAATCTGGGAATCCACTCCTTCCAAGATGAAACTTTGTAACCTGGCAAAAAGCGCGGTCTGCGGTCCGTTTAGTAGTAGTTCATGTTAACAAATGCGCGCTCAGAACTCTGCTTATGCCCATTGTGGTCTCTACGAGCTAGCGCAGGCTCAGTCTCAAGTGATACAAAAGTTGTTTCGATGCAAGTTGCAAAAAATATGAAGGTCAATCTGAAATTCGACCAGCTATCCAGCAGGAGCAGCAAGTTTTCGGAAAACATATATCGGCCTAGGGCCTAGGTGGGTCACTTGTGCGGAAAAAGCGGGGTTGCAGCTTCAAAAAATCTGAAAACCAGCCCTGAGCGAACCTCAGATGAAGGCCGAGCGCGACCTTCAGAGACACGGAAGAGTCACTAAGCTACTGCAGATATAGTTGTTATTGAATGTCACATCTACAGCTCCCTCCAAAGGCAACGAAGTGAGATTCCTTTTGTTCTTTCCCCTCAGATGTCTCTCTCATTCTCTCTATCTTTCTCTCTCTCTCTATGTTTATATATGTGTGTGTCTGTGTTTCTCTGCCCCTCTCTCTCTCTCTCTCTCTCTGGTTCTCATTTGCATTCGCTCTCTCACACTGTGTGGGGAACCGTACTCCCTTGCTTTTTCGTCTGGGGAAGCAAAGCCCTCCCCAGACCGGCCAGGACCCACAATTCTATAATAT